AGTCGTCCAGGTCCTGAAGCTGCAAAGCAGCCCCAGATCATCACACTACCACCACCATGTTTGACTGTTGCTATGATGTTCTTTTCATAGAAAAGAATAATAGCAGTTGTGGCCTAATGGAATGAGAGTCGGACTTGTAACCTGAAGGTCACAGGTTCGAGTCTCAGGTCCGGCAGGGATTGTAGGTAGGGGGAGTGAATATCCTGCGCTCTCTCCACCCTCAATACCACAACTGAGGGGAGACCCTTGAGCAGGGCACCGTACCCCCAACTGCTCCCCGGGCGCCACGCAGCATTGGCTGCCCACTGCTCCGGGTGTGTGTTCATGGTGTGTGTGTGTGCGCGCGTTTGTTCACTACTCACTGCTGTGTGTGTGCACTTGGATGGGTTAAATGCAAAGCACAAATTCCAAGTATGGGACACCATACTTGGCCACACATCATATCCTTTCCTTCCTTTCATTTCCTTTTGAAATGCTGTGTTGGTTTTATGCCAGATGTAACGGGACACACACCTTCCAAAAAGTTCAACTTTTGTCGCATCAGTCCACAGAATATTTGCCCAAAAGTTATTTTTTGGCAAATGTGAGACGAGCCTTTGTGTTCTTTTCGGTCAGCAGTGGCTTTTGCCTTGGAACTCTCCCGTGGATGCCGTTTTTGCCCAGTCTCTTTCTTATTGTTGAATCATGAACACTGAGCTTAATTGAGGCAAGTGAGGCCTGCAGTTCTTTAGATGTTGTTCTGGGTTCTTTTATGACCTCTTGGATGAGTCGTCGTTGCGCTCTTGGAGTAATTTTGGTTGGCCGGCCGCTCCTGGGAAGGTTCACCATTGTTCCAAGAAATTAAAGGTAATCGCGACTTTATATCTTGTAATTCAGATTTTTTTCCCCCCTTAATATTTCATGATATAAACTCAGAATTGTGAGCGAGAAACTCATTTTGAGAAAAAAAGTCAGAATTGCAGGTTATAAACTTGTAATTGCGAGGAAAAGTCAAGCTTGTTTCTGTCATGAAATACAAAAGGGTAATTGTGACTATCTCACAATTCTGAGTTTATATCTTGCAATTACAAGTTTATGTCTTACAATTCAGACTTTTTTCTCAGAATAGTGGCAAAAAAGTCAGAATTGTAAGAAGTCTTAATTACTTTTTTTTTCATGGCGGAAATACGTTTCCATACTCTGGGCAACAACAACATGTACGAAAAAAAGCTACAAATATTTTGATTGTTAGATAATTTCCTGAATAGTCTCACACGCACAAGCATGCTCTCTTCGTGTTTAACAGATTTCAGAATGATTAAATCATGCTACTTCCAGTAATGCTTTTTAGCATTATCATATGCATATAAATATTGCTTTATATCTATGCATACTCTATGTTAGCAGTCAGGTTACTGAGGTACACCATGCTTCATGCTCTTAAACTGCTGTGTTTCATCGAAAGTCTAAGTAGGTCTTAGAATGCATTGAAACAATGATTTCTACTTAGGTTTGCAATGCTTTTGGGAAATGCAGAACAAAAAAAAGTGCAGAACGTAAGCAATAATAATTATTACTAGCTTCTTTTCAGTGAAGAAACGGGATACTGAGGTTACTTGAAAATGCCCGTACTGATTTTGCTTGTAGTGAAACTTTATTTATGAAGTCAAATACACAACCAGTTAAATCTGAATATTTATTTATTTTTCTATAAGTTGCTTAGTCTTTGTTTCTTTGCAGAAAAGGCGTATTTAGATTGAATGCAACTAAAGGAATGTTTCTTCTTGAATCCCTACTGAGGAATATTTCTGTAGGGTTTATGAGGGCTTTGTACCTGAATGTTTCTTGTATAGTAGAATGAAGTAGATGAGTGTTGACTGTTTTTTGGAGATTTTTGTAAGTGTAAATACACCGTAAAGCTTGTGTTTTTGCTTATTGCACTGTAATCTGTAGGTTCAGATTTGAGGGAAGGAAACATGTTGCTGCTTTTAAAATGAGGAATTTTTATTCATGCTTTAAAATGTTTGTATAACAGGGATGTTATTTTTCTATTTAAAGGGGTCATTGGATGCTACATGCACTTTTACAAGTTGTTTGAAATTTGAACTGAAATGTGTGTTGGCAGTGCGTGTACACAACCACCCTATAATGATAAAAATCCACACAGTGTTTCGAG